TAATATTACATTTAATATTAAATATTAAAAAGACATTCTGATATTAAATTTTAATATCTGAATAGCAACATAAAAAATAAACTTGAATTAAATCTGGACTCACATAATTAAGTTCCGTAAATAAATTACATTTTTTGGTATTGGATATGTGCTCCAGGGCTCTAGCTTAGCTACTGAAAACCCCTAGATTTTGGCTCTGAAATTTAGTTTTAACATGAAATTCTAATACTTTTTTTTTTTTACAGAGCCTTAGTGTTTCTTGGTGGAGTTTGGTTGAAGCGGAAACAACATTTCTGTATCAACTCAAAGCTTTTCACATGTGAGCATCAACATTAATGTCCTTTTATTTTGTTCCAGTTTTGTCATTAACCTCCTGACCGCAAACRCTTTTTAAAAAAGATTGACCGTTGTATATTTTGCTTTTTAATGACACTGTTCCAGAAGTTGCTTTATAGATTTTTGTTAATATTTTTTTAAAAAGGCTAACAGGTTTTTCAGATCATGTGAACAAACAATTGCTTGATTCCAATGTGTTTAACACTTACAAGAATGTCACATTATTTCCCAATGAGAACAAGAGAAAAAAAGTGTTAAGTGAAAAGGGAGTTTCTCGTTTGACTCCAAATGGACAGTTTCTCTTAGAGCAAGCTCCAGATCTGCCAGTCATCAAGTAAAACCCTGAAACTGTCAGCATTTATTTTCCTCATTCCATGAAAAATGGAGGCGTTGAAGGGGTCGTAGCCCAGCAAGGCACGCATATTTCAAGTCACTTTGAACACTTCAAGAGGGTTTTTTCCCCCCTTTTAATAATCCATTATGCATAGCAGGTCTGGCTCTCCCTGGTATTTCTCCTACCTTCTTGACGTCAGTTGCCATTTGTGAGGGTTACTCTGGCAACGGCCAGCCTCCCTGGGAGATGTCTGGTGGATAAGACAGCCCAGATAAAGCCTTTTAAGGCTCTGCTCTTGCAACATCTTTTAATTGCCTTTGATACAGTGGAAGTATTACATGAAGGTTGTCAGGGAATATCCCCTCGTGGGGACCAAACTTTGAGAACATGCAGATAAAAACGTCACTTAGAGAAGCTGCTTCAGATTGATGTCCCTTTATCTTTATTTGATTGGATCAGTGAAACTGGATATGATGGATCTATTTTTGACCGGGCTCTGCCCTTTTGGTTACACGAAAGAAATGTTATGCTGACAATGTGGTTTTAGTGGTAGTTTAACATGTTCAAACATGATTCAACACTTGGATGCTCAACAAGAACATGCTAAAATCATCATAGAAAACCGCTTTTTTTTTTTTGCAAACTCATTGCTCATGGAGACATCTTCTTTTTTTGCATTTATGCAAAAACATCAGCCGGATAAAGATAAACCGTGGCAACGTGTTGACGGGACACAGTAACATTCAAATTCTGTCATTTACCTACAAGACTTTTATTGTGTGCATGGAGCTCTGCTACATGTTGAATTTGCATGGATGCAAAATTGGCTCACATGGAGTTGTGCTATTTAATTCAATACCTGCTCCCATCTCCACGATGCTATTTATAGTCTTGCCGACGTATGTGCCTTTCCTTTTTTTTCACACACCAGGCTATTGATGAGCTATTTTTACAGTGGCGGTTTGCTCCCTGCTTTCCCTCTTGGTTGCCAAGCAATAGACCAAAGAACCTGATTGGCCAAGGATTTGCTTTTGGACATGCTGACTGCGACTCTCATCTTGCTAATGAATTTGGTCTTTTTGCTCACTGTAGAGCCAGAGAGCACAGGTGTTCCCATCTTCTTATATTGAAATTTTCTGTATTATTTTATTCTTTTACAGTATAAAAAAATCATTTAAGCAAGAGGCTGCAAAATAGAAACAACTACACTATCTTACGTGATCACATTACATTTGAATTACTCACTGTGTAATTGGCTAACATCAGGTATAATCAAACAGAAATGTAAAATATGAACCAAGAATGCTTTTATGGCAAACACCCGCTATTACAATAATATACCTAGTGTTTATATTATATATCTTTAATAACTGAGAAGCATTTTGAAAATTGTGCATATAGATTCTTTATAAGGAAGACTTGTTTTACATTTAAACACTTAAAATCAATCACTGTGCTTGTTTTTTCTGCTCATTTATCAACTACCAGGTTTCACTTTTCACTAACGATAATTGTCAAAGGAAACCAGATTCCCAGTTGCACTAACGGCAAACCAATCATAGCGCAGTGTCTGTTCTCGCTATTGTGTTAACTCTAATCCTTATAATCTGTTTAGGGATAAATTGGTGGGACACACCTAAACCACTGCTGTGTAAGTGAATTCATTTAGACTTAATCTGACCCCATGCCTCTCTGAAAGGAAACCAAGACCTGCAAAACTTTCATCCTCCCTCCATTGATTACGGCTCGTGCAGAGATATGGAAAAGCCTATCCTACTGCTCCCTTTCATTGGCCCCATAAAAAATTCATCCTGTCCTAATGGAGAGAGAGAGAGAGATTCTTTTCATTGAGCTTGCTGAAGGCTGGGTGAGACATGCACTTAATAAAAGCAAGGCAATTGAGTTAAATATTTAAAACAAAATGCATTCATTAGTGATTTTAGTGTATTTTAAATGTATAGGGTTTTATTGTGTAAGCCATTTAAAGAAAAGTCATTCGGATTATCGTCGTTTTTATTTTAATTACAATGATTTTATGTATTATTTATTCTGAAGAAATGCTTGATTATTGTCATTTAATGTCATGCAAATTCTGATTTATCCTCATATTAGACACTTTAACATCTTGGGAAACTTCAGAGAGCAAGAGTTTTGTCTAATTTAAAGCGTGTATGATTTTAAAATGAGAACACAAAACATCAGAAAACTTAAATTTAGGTAATTATATTTAATTGTTTATTTGCTAATGAACTTACACAAAAGTTTGGTTAATATAGGTTAGAAAATACACAAAGCAATATTTTATTTTTTAGATTTTAGTGTGTTTTTTTTTTAAGGAAATTGCTTAATTTTGAAATAAAACACTATTTACCTACCTAAACTGCTGATACTATAGCTTTCGTATCTTTTTATTATCTACTGCCTTGAAGGAGTACAATTTCTACTATTACTACATCTTAATACTACAACTGCTATTATCAGTCTCTGGGGTGATTTGCAGCTCTAATTTTTGTTTCCTGTATCCCATTCGGTTCCTTTTCGTAGAGGGGCTGATGGACTGTACCATTTCAGCCGTGGGGTTCGAACCATATTCAGGCACTTCTCAAGCATCTAAAACGTGCAAATAAAAAACTCTTACTGTGGTTTTAACTTGAGTAATAATCTATATAAAATATTTTTTAAATAAAAAATGTGTTTAAGTTTGCTTAAAGATAAAAAAAAATTAAATATGTCTGCAACGACGCACCCCTCCAGATRGGCTGTTGCCATGTTCCCACTTTCATGGGTGTGGTGATTAGCTTGCTTGGTGAACATTTTTTTTCTTCTTTTTTGTGTGTGTGTGTGTGTGTCAAATCCGGCCCGAGTACCGTTGTTCTCTGACCCGGTGAAGTGGATTAAATTGTTTTAGAGTTAACACAGCTTCCTTTGGCGTTTTGTCTCACAGCTGTTACCATGGCTGTCGAGTGAAATCGGACCGGCGTAACTCGGATTGGAGAAACGGACTGAGCCAAAACGTCTCTTTTTCAGGTGAGGACGTGCAGTCTTGTCTTGTTATTTTGGTGGCTTTTTTTATAGTCTATTTCCTGTTTTGTTCGGAGCGGTTTCATTATGCTTTTACGTCGTGGCTGAGTTGCAGAAATGTATGCGGGAAGCGACATATTCTGGCAGCAGGAGTGTGGCTGTTGAAAACAACAGTTCCCAGACTAAATGTCTCAGGCAGTCCCCTCGCTTGGAGCTGAAGCTGAAAAATCCCCAGCGATCCTAAACGCGGCCCTCCTAACGGTCTGTCAAAACAGCCTCTATCTTTGGCGGAACTACGAGCAAAATACCTACCAGTAGTTTCGACTCACACTTGTGTTTTTCCATTTCAGACGCAGGGTTTCTCTTTTAGTTGCGCAAAACCTTGTGAGGCTTGAAAAATGATGTCTTAAAAATAATAATAAATAATACATAAGTAGTCCGC